TACTCATAATTTTACTAATGAAATCGCAGCCGCCTATTAAGTGAAAATTGTTCCTGGGTCAATTTTACCATAACGCGGGCTTATTTTTTAAAAAAGTTAATTCCGGCCGGAATTTAGTAAACAATTTTGCAATGTGGGCCAAAATTTTGAAGATCCTCGGCCGTCAGCCAATCAAAATCGAGGATCTGCCGGTCCAAATTTGTTCCCGAAAGACCCGTTGGATACGTTCATGCTGATTGGCTGTATTTGATTGGTTAATTTAGTGTATCATAGGACGACATTCGTATGATTGAAATCAAATCTTAAATTTTGCAAGTAGACTTTTATTAGCCACAAATACTACTAGATATCCACTATAACCCTTAGTTTATATAATAATGAGCGCAATACCACTCCTAAAGTAAACCCAAACCACGATTACAACTGCTTACCCAACGATTTAACTCTATAATATTAATAATATACAATATATATAGTAAATATTAAGTTAATTATTATTAAAGTAACACACAGACAAGATTTTTCAAGATTAAAACTTACACGTAAACGTCTCAATCAGCCTCTTTAGTTTATTATTTTCAGCATTTAAACCTTATACAGTACTGTATATAATATATATTAAATAATTATTAGACCGGGGAAATGTACGCATATGGAGTATCGACTGTATATCTATCGCAACAATAAATTATGTGCTACATTAGCGTTAGGATACGCGTAGAGTTGTTGGTGAAACTGGTGAAACTTGGTGAAACTGGTGACTATCTAAAATCTGATTGGCTGGTGAATGCAATAGCCAATCAGATTTTAGATAGTCACCAGTTTCACCAGTGTGATTTAGTTTCACCAACAAGTCTAGATACGCGTTAATTCAGGACGCACATGAGCGCTCACCTTTAAAAACCTAATGTTTCAAGTATATAGAAAAACTATCCGAAATTAATTAGAAACTTTAGCGTTTATATTTTACTATACTTTACTATTTTCTACTTAAAAAACGTCTCTAAGTGAAGTATATTTGCATAGAGTAGTACTCGAAACTTCTGTGAAGAACCTCCTACTGTACAGTATTATAAATGTTGGTTATATTTTTGTAAAAAAAAAAATTTACCACATAAGTTCAATTGCTCTGTATATATTAGAGTTACGGCTCAAGTTGATCGGCTTGTAAATGGCTCAGTTCTGCTGAAATATTGGCTCGACCTGATCAGTGTTAGCCGTGAACTGAGCCGAACCGAGCCATTCGCATCACTAATCGTAGATGATAACTGATTATTCATCTACTAAGACCGACTGATAACTTGGTTATCCGACATGTCTGACGTAAGGACTGAGTAATTCCCGTGTAACTTATTCGATCACCTAGACCTCCCTAAGTGCACCCCTCGGGACCATAGTAAAAAAAAAGCAAAATGTGCACTTAAAGAGTGTGTGCATTTAGAGAACAAAATATGTAGTGCTCTTATAAGTTGGGGTTAAGCTATGCCGTGCATTTAGAGAGAATTTACATAGGGCGTGCACTTTTAGAGTGTGCACTTAGGGAGGTCTTACTGTATGCAAATATTCGCTCACCTCGTCCGTACGTAAGAGGTGTGAAATTTTGTATATTGTATTTAGGAGGTGACCAAATAAGTTACATCACTGATAAATAGGACGTGTCTGATAAAGTAAATTGTTTGCATCCCGGTACGATTTTGGATTATTGACTCTTAATGCAAACTACACACTCGTACATATCAAAAAAAATACAAGAAATCTTATAGAAGTCCTGATCCCAGAGAAACTCCGTCATCGCGCCGCTGGTATAATACTAAATCCTCTATGCCTGAGTAAAATGTCAAACGGTCGATTTTATTGGAGCCCAGAATATTTATTCCACTAGATATGATGCTGGAAAAAGATGGGTTAAGTTAATGTGGCAAAGCCTACAGGAGCGACCGTCGATGTTACACGACTGACTTTTCACCCGGTGTGCAACATATAAAAAAACTATTTTACAA